TCTGAATTTTTAGAATTTCTGTATTATTTTATAACTGCTTAGAAAATATCTCAAATTTTTTTATACGAATTTTATATACAATATTTCAAAATTCATATATATATATATATATATATATATATGAAAATTTTATTAAAAAGTATAGATATTTTAAATATGTATTTCTGAAATGTTTTTCAATTTTTATTACAGCTCCTACTCATTCCAATGAACGCGTTAAAGTGAGTAGGAGTTAGGGTAGGAGCATGCGACGCGAACAAACGTTGGTAGTACTAAGTAGTACATGATAAAAAGAGACCAAACCTAAATGATGTGCGTGTGACGAAGACAACAACAAGGTTGGCTAAATTGGATCTACAAACGATCATTGTATAAAAAAGAAAGCAGAGAATTAGAGAGAGATGCTTGCAAACTGAGCACACCATGTAATCCTTTCACCATTTTATGACAACTTGAATTGGAACTTTTATGACAACATTTACTCTGTATAAATAAATTAATTATTTTCTCACATGTTCTTCTTGAAAGTCTAAAATGTTCTTTGAATTTAAAATATCATACAAAATAATATATGAAAAATAGCTTACACATTTAGTTTATAGATTTAATAGATATTACATATATTTACCTCTTCTGCAGTATATTGATCAATAACATCTCTAATTTAATTTGCGTTATTTTTCTTCTTTTGTATTAAATAGATATATAACTCTTCATCAGAACTGTCTGATAAAGGAAGTAAGATCTCATATACCATTATCATTTTTGTACATTTTTGCACTTATTACAATTAATTTCTTGCGTATTTATCGTTGTGTTGCATGCTATTATGCTCTCTGAAATGAAATTATTTCATCATTATCTTTAATATTTTCATAAGTAAAAGTTTTTTATCTAGTAATGCGCACATAAATCACTATTTTCAATTTTAAATGATGATTTGCTACAGCATAAATTTGTTGTCCATACAAATGTTAATGAATGTTTTTTAAAAAGAAAAATAATTTATAGCTTTAGAGCTGTAGTATGTAAATTGATTATCGATAAAGCATATTATTAATGTTACAATATTTTCAATTAAGACTTACCATCACTGTCTACATATTCACATAAAATCCCTTCGGCCATTTGAATCATTTTCCAGATTCAACTCAAATAATTTTTATATTTGTTATTTTTTGTAAAAATTATTATTTACAATATTTGTTGTAATTAAAATTTATATATCATTCAATGATATATTAACATTTTATACATATTCGTGTTTTCATAATTAACTATGATTATATACAATCGGTCAAAAAAATTGCAACACCTTTTTTTCGATGGGTTTCGGAATGCAGTTTGCTCATCGAATGATTGGTTCTTATTCATGGATCTACAAATAAGAATCAATCGCTTGACGAGTCATTCCGAAACCTATCAAAAAAGTGTTGCAACCTTTTTACGACCGGTTGTACAGCACAAATTTCTTACCTAATATACTTATTGTGTAATATATTTATTAACTCACACAATTTATTTAATAAGATAAACCTCATGAACAATTTTAGATAGAGATAAGAAGAAAATTCTTTTTGCCATGACACTTTCGAATCTCAAATCGAACTTGTTATCGGTGCCGACCTGACCTGGGGTCGGGTCGAGTCGATTAATCGAGAACGTCATATGCTTTAATGGTTATGTGTATGTATTTTTGTTGCCACTGCAGAAGCAACCAATTTGCAATTTTACAAAAGCTGAGATCAATCAATTCCAATTTAGAACAATTCACGAAAATTGTGTGACATATCTCAGCTGGTATGGGTGTGCCCATCAAAAATAATTGTTTTAAATTTTTACATAATGTCAGTGCTTTTAGATCACATTCAGTGAAACCTTTAACATAGCCTAGGAGGATTGTTTCCAGGTGTTGACAGGAGGAAAACAATCTAAAGAAACTATCACCATGATCAGTTGTCCTTTTACTGTAAAAAAAAAAATATTGTTATGATTCTTCAATAGAGTAAATAGAAGGATAACGCAGCTATTTCAAGATAGCAAAACAAACATACAAATTTTCATGAATATGATTTCAATATGATATTGCTGTTTGTTTTAAAAAATTAGGATGACGCCTAGATCTGTATGAGAGCAATAGATTTATTAGTTAGTAAGATCTCAGGTTTGATTTGTCCCATAAATAAATGAAGAATATGTATTTTTCAAAAAGTATGACAGAATGTATTTTCAAAGTGTGACACAACACGTACCACCAAGTCAAATTCACATTTCGTAGATTTTTGTAGTCAGCAAGAGCATTAATACCTTGCGATGTAAGAGTGTGTATTCTCTGTAAATCTATACTTTCCAAATCTGGACAGGAATTTCTTAATTCCATTATAACTTCATCTGCATTCAGATGAGTGTAGGTTTCTGCTATATATAAGTGACGCATCCGTATATTTCTTCGCAGTATCTTGCAAAGAGTCTCAGTACTTATATATGTCTTGCAAAGATTCAAACACTCCAGGAACTTCAAATTTTTGAGATATGAGAATCCATTATCATTTATCATGTAACAATTACCTACATCTAATTCTAAGAAAAATATATTTTATATCATAGTATTGCTCATACAATTTGTGCTTATAATAATCATTTATGTATATACCTTTCAAATTTTTGCATACTCTCGAAATTCTAAGTATGGTATTGTTGTCGATACGTAAGCAAGTCAATTGTAAGTGTGTTAAGAGACTACCATAAAAAACAAGAAAAAATTCAAAACTCTGGACAGAAATACCTCTACAGTATGAAAGATTCAACTGTCGCAAATATTTGCATCTAGGTGTTAAATAATACAATGCCTTTGTATTAACAATATAACAATACGGTTCTAAGTTTAAATTTATATAAAGCAGATGGTTCTGTGCTAAATTATTGAAACGTTTATTCACTCTGCTCATGCGACATAATGACTGTAAATCTAAGTTTCTTAATATTATTGTTATTATTTCATCCTGCAAGATAAAATTTTAATAAATGGAATAACAGTAAATATTATTATGTATGACTAGTGACAAAGACTTCTTAGTATACTTTACAGGAAGCTCAGAAAAACTATAATATGATGGCTTCTTGGATTCATCGAGAAGAGTGTTAGACATCTTTCATAAATTTTGGAAGTTCTGATAAAAAGCATTGCATTAGATCCCTCTTTAAGAGGTGATACACAATAATAAAGAGATCCTAGCTAAGATGTTAGATTTAGTGTCGTAAAAATTTGCTACTACATTACTACAAATAACATAGGTATAAACTTACTTTCACCAGAGAGAAACCTGAGAGTTTTTGACGCCGAAAAGCATCGATCGTCAGCATGAAAAAGCACCTTAAATAATAACCAATTATGGGTGCTTTCCATGTTGTAAAACATTTACTAGATACAGGTTGTGGTCAAAGTCTCGCTACAAATGCTTTGAAGCATTTGATGGGCCAATTAGAAGAAAGAATTCTACAAACTGACCAATTAAAAAACATTTCAAAGCTTTTGTAGCATCGCGTTGACTGTACCCATAAATACAACAGAGATACCAACAGCGTCAGGTGTGTGGCTCAGTGGCAGAATGAAAGTCTACCAACTTGGAAGAAAGATAGATCAGGCCTGGAATCGACACGAGAAACGCCCTGATATTTTTCTCTGTTGTTTACAATTTGATGACACAAGTCGATATTAGCGTCGTTCTGTCTTTGTTAACATTCAGAGAATGACAAAGATAGAACGACATTTATGTCAATTTGTATCATCAAATGGAAAACATCCTATGTTCATTTGATCACCCTCATTGGGCTCGTTCAAGGCTACGTTCCTGAAGAAAATTTATTCGAAATATATAATACACGTAACGTATACTATAGCATATAGAATAAAATCTTCCTCAAAAAGGAAGTTTTGGAACGTAGTCCAAGTTGACTCGGAGTGCGGCTAGCCTGCACTCCGAATAAATGAACATAATTGTTACTTATAGATCCAATCAATCATCGCTCGGTATGCCTAGTCTTTTTGCCATCTTGAACTTGCCATTAACAATGAGCGCTAAAAAATAAAAAAAATGTATTTTTTCAATGTAGAAACTTTTTCTAATTTTCACCGAGAATTTAATTCGAATCAGAATGTAAGAACCAACCAACTACAGTCGAATATTTCCCTGTTAAGGCTTAAACATAATAGGCAACAGAGAATAACAAATCGTCTAATCAAAGCTCTGGGGCGCTCTCTATTCTGTAACTATTTTTTCACGCCTACCGATAGTTGTCGATGTCGTTAATAATGTCGGTCGATAAACTAAGTAAGTGCGATTCTATATCATTGCTGTCGATGAATATTTGACGATATTTATCATTAATGACAACTATCGTTAACTTTAATGTAATCCCCTATAAGTGATGAAAACGTCGTACCGACACATTTGAACTTATTAATGATAACTAAAAATAGTAAAAACCTGCGTCACTTATTAAGCAAATTGAAGGCATTATAAAGTAAATATTTTTTAAATATTTAATTTATTTAATTTATTAAAGTAATTTATATATAATATGTAATTTATGTAACATGTTTATATAATGTAGATAATCATGTAGATATCATCATATATTAAATAT